GAAGCGGTCTAGTGATAAGCCTGATGCAATGTCGCATGTCGCCGTAAGCTTGAATAACATTTCTACACCAATGTTTGTCAAATCACTTGACTGGATAACATTCTTATTCTTATTCTTATTTTTATATATTTTCTGTTTCTTTTTTATTATTAACTCAGCTAAATGTTTCCTAAAATATAAAATATTCTTGTACGGCTTATCCTAATTTGATAAGCCTTACTTACTATTTGGAATAAGTATGAATAGGTAAAAGAAAGAAAGGAAAATACACCCTACGTTTCCATTTCAGTTATTTCCTCAGGTTTTGTTCTGGAGATATGCCAAAATGTGCCAACGCATTATCGAATATTACTACTATCAAATTTTAGTACCTGGCGCAATTTTAATTATCTTTGTATATATAGAGTGTTCCCAACTCTACCGATTTCTTTTTTCCCACTTTTTTCCCACTTTTTTCCAATGTTGAAACGACACTCAGGGGTAACTATTACGCCTCAGACGACGAGATGAATGAGGCAGTAAAGTCTTGAATCAAAGAAAAGGATGAACATTTTTTCATTGACGAAATGAAACAATTTGTCACACGTTGGGAGAAATCTATAAGTCAACACTTATAAGGGGACTATGTATAAAAATAAATATATAATTTTGAAGCTAATGAATGGTACTTTCATTTTTTTGTCCCATTCCGATATCTCTTCTCGTTCCCCCTCTACGGTCGTCTGTGCATTACTTTTAAGCCGACTCTCGTAGTTTGAAGACTCACTACGAGTTTAATAAAACCTTCAAACTAACTTTTTATTAATGGTTCTCTGTTTTCTAATTAAATGAAAGAAAGAAGAAATTGATAGCTTTTGGGACATTCTGAGAATATACCTATTATTTTTATTCGACCAAATTTTTTGATAAAAATAATTTGAGGTATAGTCATTCCGATATCAATTGAAGAACCAAGAGGATGACAATATCTACCAGGTTCGGTCGCTAACGCAGCAACTCAGCATTGAAATATTTGAAAAACTTGTTCCCATATTTATTTAGCCATACCCATATATAGGTCTGGTCGAACTAAACGTGGAGGTGGTAGAAATGTATACGCCCAGTTGAAGAATGCGAGCGCGGGCAAAGGAAAACGAACACAGTTGCATTGGGCTACTGGGCAATAAATCTCAGCCGTTGACAAGTGGCCAACAAATTGCCCAGCAGTGCAGTGCAGCAATGAGGAATTTGGTGTGATTCAGGTAATTTTAAGTTATTATAGGCACCTTCTATTAATCATTGATATTACAATTGCAAAACGGAGAAATAATATTGTTACAACATGGCATTTTGGAGACCTTTTGAAACGGAACAAAACGAAATTTACCATCAATGTAATAAAATTGTTTGAGGACATAAATAATTAAAATATATGTTGTTGGCCAAATGAACATATAATAGAACTTTTCTACATATTATACATATACAAATTATTATAATTTTTGCCTTCATTAAAAAACTTTTTAGGGACGTCTATAAAACTCATTAAATTTAATTGCCAGGTGGTGTTTTTACATGTTCAACTGACTATAATAATGTTAATTTTGATGTAATTAAATGTTTTGACTGAATAAAACTTTTAATGACATTTTCCTATAAGGTGGCTATGAAAAGGTAAAACTGACTTTTAAAACGTAACAAAAATTTAAATTAAAAAAATGGAAGTTTTACAAGTGCTCAATTAAACCACTTGTCAGATTTCACAAAAAGTTAACCCCCAAAGAAAATAATAGAAGAAATTAGACTGGTGTTCCGAATCAAATCTGAACAACCTATTTATAAACATACATATCTGTGTTTAACAATACAACTTTGTAGTTAATTTATTTCAACTTTTCGGAGATAGATTAGTGGGGGTTAGGGGAAGCCAGAATTTTTAATTTTGTAGGAATATCTGTAGCCGGAGACAGTTTTTGTTGTGTGAACTATATAGGCATCGGACTTCTGGCGTTATGTCAGAACGATCGATGAACAAGCTCTCTATACCGTAAATGGATTTCTGGCGTGTCTGGCGTAATTTTGTTCAGTGCAAAATAGAACCTGCAGACATTGGCGTCCGGGGGGGTTGGCGCATAGAAGGTGAATGCCCTGTTGCACCAAATACAAAAAATAACTTTTCCTGTAATAGTGTGTCATCATGTCAGAAATAAAACATTATATTAATTCCTTTTTATGGCCCATTCTTGGCATATTTTCTGCGGAAGCGCCTGTTTTCAGATATTTAAATCGCGACTGTTAATACGTTTTGCTGTTTTAGATAGTTTGGGCATGGCAGAAGTGTAATTTTGCCTTGAAGGCATCGATTAGTTGCTTCTGAATATAAAGATGAGCTTATTAAAACCAATTTTTTGAAAATTAATACATAAAATCAATTTTGCATATATTCAGGATGTAACTAAAACACTGGGCCACATTTTAATGGCGTGTAAGTCACAAATCAACAAAGAAGTTCTTAGAAATATGTGTATAAACGTTTTGTTTTTAAGTAAAAATAAATATTCTTTTATTTACAAAAAAAATGCTCTAGCGATTTCGTTCTAATTTGGCGTACAGCTTTTTATGCCCACGAATTTATGTGCATGATAAGGTTATTTTACATATACATGGATTTAATTTCAGCGGTAGACATAGTCATTTTCGCTCCCAATTTTTTTCTTCCAATATTAGAGACTTTACAAGTAAATTATAAAATTTTAGATCATTCTAGAATTTATTACTAGGTGTCGAAATGCTATTTTTTAAATAAGAATAATTATTATTCAAATATCATGTTTTCAATAAACAACATAAAGTATTATTTACATGGCTTCCCATTTTTGATTTTTTTTTTAACTTAAAGCAGACCATATATTTTAATTAATTTTGTGCACATGAACTTATGAACTTTTTTTTATTTGTGACGTAGAATCTGTCATTAAAGTTCGGCCAAGTATTTTAGTTACAATCGCACGTGCCACAAATATAGGATGTCCCAAAAGTAACGCAGGATTTGAATTGTGTGCCATTTTCATTCCGAAGAATTGGCAGCATCGTGCAGGATCACGTGTTGTAGTAAACACGTTGCGATTAGACAAAATGGACAGCTATACGACAGACAAGCGAGTGAAGATTATGAAAATTCACTAAAAGTACGGAGAGTGCGTAGCTGAGACTGTGCGCAAATCACATGGAATTTTCGGTAGAAGGAACGCCCCGAAGGAAACAACTGTTAAAAGATTAGTTGCCAAATTTGAACAAACAGGTTCGGTTGCAGACAATAAAACAACAGGCCGATCTGGTACTGGCCGTTCAGCCGAAAATATTGCTACAATGAGTGATAGTGTGGCGGAAATTCCCGTAACTTGAGTGCGCCGTCGGTCACTACAACTAAACATTTCAAAAAGCATAATGCAGTGGATTTTAACGAAAGATCTGCATCTGCATCCAGTTAAATTTAGCTAACCCAGGAATTATCAGAACCAGAAGACCATTTAATCCGCCGGACATTTGTTGATTGGATATTAGATAATCAACAAGTGGACCATAATTTTGCTAATAAAATCATCTTTAGCGACTAGACGCATCTTAGTGAGTATGTGAACAAGCAAAACTGTCGAATTTGGGACAGAGACAATCCTCGGGTCATTCAAGAACGACCACTGTATACCCAAAGAGTGACATGTGGTGTGGATTTTACATTGGTGAGGTGATTGATCCGTTCTTTTTTGAAAATGAGAGTGGAAGCGCAGTGACTGTTAATGGAGAACGATATCGAGAGATACTATTGAACTTTTTGTGGCTTCATTTGGATGGCATTGATTTGGATGACATGTGGCTACAGCAGGATGGTGCCACCTGTCATACGGCACTGAAACTGTCCACTCATTACGGTAAATATAATTAACTCATCTCACATAACAGTGAAGTGACTTGGCTACCAAGATCATGAGATCTTATGCCATGCGCCGCCAGAGGTCGATGCTGTCAGCAGAACAGCCGCTAACGACGAGATGCAAAAATAGAAAATTCACCTCAGTTTCGAATTTGGTAAAGTGAAAAGTTTTCCGAATATTTCGAACTGGGAAACCGCAAGATGAAACCAAAGTTACCACGTTAGACTACAAGTTGATCATTAGTTCCAGTTGGCGACAAATCCCAAGAGGAATAAAATCTGGGGAGTCCAATTGTCCAAACTTTATGCGGAGTTTGAAATAGGATCTTGGCCAGTTCGCGTAGCATGTTTGAAATTATTGTCATTTTGCATTGTTTAAAAACTCTTCAGATTAATAATCAAAGACCAATTTGTTATAAATACATGTTTTAACAATAAATCATTTTTTAATAATTTGTTGAAAAATTTTCACAATTTTCCCGGTCTGGATCTCAGTTCTAGCGCCCCATTCACCTAGGCATTGTGCAATCCTACGGTGAAAATCCTAAGCTATAGAATAAGCTCCTAGAAGCTGCTCAAAATTCATGGTAGTCATAGAAGGCTCCTCGAAGCTTCCATATGTCTGTTACTCACAGGAGACCTCGAAATCAGTGCTAGGCAAGGCAAAACATAAAAGACAACAGTATAGACACCAGAGTAACCATACTCGAAGTGTCCCAAAAAACATTTAGTGCAACAAGACTCAGTTGAAAGCCTCGAGGAAGCCGTGGCATCCCGAAAGGGTATCAGAGTATAAGAAGGCAACAAACCAAATTAGATCGTTTAACCTATCTCAAAGCAACTAACCCGCCTTTGATGAGGAATTCAGGTGGACAAAATCATGTTCATGCTTAAGTGTGCTAAATGTGCTTAAAAGGGGCCAAATTAAGATAGATTCCCGACAAGGCACCCAACCTGAACACAAATGTCCCGACAACGAAACATCAACCTTATTGAAAGACGACAATATCATTGGTTTTATAAGCTGCGGACGGTTTTGTCATTGGTTCTACAAACTACGCTATTATGTAGGATTGCCTAGGGTACTTACTCGCAAGTTAAGCGCACTGCGATCGACTGTCCCGGTGTAAGCGAACTGCAAGCACTGCTGCATAGCACCGGGAGTCACTAGTTTGCTAAGCGTCACCACCGTTTGTCCTTCGGGTTGGACGTTCCTTATGCACTGGAAGGCCGGATGGTCAAGTTCCCGGGCCGTCGGCAGCGCCTGGCAACTCGCTCTCCTCTTGCACGTCTTCTGCTCGGCGCGCACCAGACACTCCGTCTCGTCGGCGAAGTCACCTAGAGAGCTCACCATGCTGGAGTCGCTCGTACTCCGCGCCATCAGATCGGCCGTCAACAACCTGAAAAATTGCAGATGTCTATATAGAAAATAACAAAAATACTTGATTTTTATTGGAAGGTTTTGGGTCACAAATTAATAAAAAAAAATTCTGCCGATATGTGCCTGCAAGCGCTCCAAAAAGTTATAAAAAACAATTGAGGGAAATATATAAAGAATATTTTATTTCAATCGTGAATAATAAGTTTATACGGTCATCAATTATTCAAAAATATCTTGAAATGACAATTTTAAGTACTTGTAGTACTTAAATCTGTTAGAAAGTACCCTGCACGTTATTCCTTTTGAAATATTATGTAGGCTTACCTGTAGAAAGCTCTGCTGCTCGCGGCCAAAATAAAACGGTGAGCGGGGAATCCCATGGATCCCACCACCAGCACGATGTCAGTGTGGGCCCTAGTTAACCACAAGCTGCGCATGTGTTCTGTGTACGAGCTAGACGATATGTGAATTTCCGGTTTTAACGGCGGTGGTGGCTTGAATGGCGCCTAAAATAAGTATTAGAATAAGTATATATACAGGGTATTTAATAAATAATGGGCCATACTTTAAGGCTAGCTTCCTTAGGTTTGTGGGTGCACATGTCCGCAAGTGACCCGTTTTAAATATTACGTCAAGAGCGCCAGTCTGACGCCGGACGGCCTAACCGTTGCAAGCGACAAGAAACAATGTGCAACGCGGGATATGGTTCCAGGAAGAGGATCACGGCAGAATTGGAATCAATAACCAGATAGATACCTGCTGCGAACGACTCCAAACCAAGAGGACTTTCCAGCAAACGTTCGCCCCGACAACACTTGTTCTTTTTCACTAACTTGTTTTCAATAAAATATTTTTATTTTTACTGTTGAGGGTGGTTTTTATTTAGCGTAAAGCAACTATGAGCCTCAACACTCGATTCTCATTAAAATAAACTTTATACATAAAAAATATGTCATTTCCTGAACTTTTTTACATAAAAATATATTTTTTTAAGAAAATTGTTTATTGGTACCATTGTCAATAACTATTTCTCGAAATAATGCGAAATTTTTTTTTTACAAATTAATAATTAATTATTGCAAAATGGACCGTGCATTTGTTATTATTTTCATGCGCTACCCCAGATAAAAAAAATACGTTAAAATTGGTCCACAATTACCGGAGATATCGCAATTTTTTCGGGCAGTTAATTAAGATTTGAGGTCTCGATTTCCACTTTTGAACGTTTTTGTCTTGTTTCCCCCACCACATTCCAGGTGTAAAAATTTATTCGAGCACATTTTTGAAAGGGTTAAAAATTACTATAAAATGCATTTTTTCGATATCTTTAACCGTTATTATGAAGTTTAAGGGTTCAATGATTTATTTCCGAAATTTCAAGTGTTAATGTTTATAAATAAACAAGCTATTAATTTAAAAAAAACGCTGCCTCGGCTAAAAACGGTCCTAGAACATTTTTTTTTAATTCGTGAAAAATTACCAGGATTACGAATATCAAAGCGGCTTTAAAAAATATTCATTCGTCGCAAAGTTATTAACGAAAACCTCATAAACATATTACACTATTTGTTTATACGCCGTTTTGAGGAGGTTAGCCTATGAAATTACAATTTCCAAATGCATATCTTGAAAATATAAATCAAGACGAAACAAATGAGCCCTTATAAGACCCTTTATTATAACGCTAACAAACGCGTGTTTGCAATTGAAAAAATGCTATTATGTTATTATATTATAAATAAATAAATGCAAAAACTCGTAAACAAATAAATATTTTTTTACCAAATTTTTAGTTTCTTAAGGGTAACAAAATACAACTTTTACTGCAGTTTAGAGACGATTTATGCTCTTTCCTTTTATTTATAGCAAATTTAAATTTCGCTGGTTTTTTGCAATTATTTAAACAAATTGTTAATGGATTTTAATTTAACAGGTCTCAAATGAAGCGTTTTTTGAAAACCTAGAAGCAAAAACTCCTGTTGGAGACCGTTTTTTAATACCGCTAAAAAACTCGATTTTTATTAAGTTTTACATTATAATCATTGTTTAAACAATGGTCTTGTTGTTTTAAACCGATACTTTTTGGGAAATATTATTTCTTTTTGCCTAAACTAACGACTAAACTACGTTCAAATCTGAAACGAATTACCTTTTGATTTACATGTATTACAAATTTCATTTACTGTGCTATTATTCTTTTTCACTAACTTGTTTTCAATAAAATACTTTTACTTTTTCCGTTGAGAGAGAGATTTATTTGCACACCGAAAGCAACCCTCAGATTATTATTTGGGTAATTTTACTTAAATTTTGGACAAGTAGGTTTTTTGTGTTGTAAACAAGAATATCTGCTTGATTTTTGTGATAAATATACAGAGCGTTCTGAGCGCCGTTGCCACTACATTATTTCCTTCAGATTTTTAAAGGATCGATAATTTTGGAAAATGATTAGTTATTTTAAAACAGCATTCGATTTGCTTTAAAAAAACGCACCGTTTTAGCGAAAATAACATTTAAAATTATTGCTGCAAATGTATGCATTACAATTTGTCAATTTAAGACTATTAATCTAGTATGTCCTTATAGTGTCAAATCCAGTGGAAGTTTTACATAAAGGCATTAGATTCTTGTGTGATAAACTCTGGTAAGTATTCTTGTACAATGCCACGACATAATTTATTCTCAAACAATGTAATGACTCATATGATATCAGTTTATGCCCAATAAGGTTTTAGTGTACGCACTGCAGTAAGAAGTCACATCTGTTTAATAATAAATAATAATAACTCTCGGGCCTATAACTTCTTAAGGAAGCAGGATGTAAGATGGCACAAAGGTAAGTTGACTTATACCTCCTTATTTTCATCCAACGAAGCTAGCTTTAAAATATGGCCCAGTCTTTAGTAAACACCCTGTGTATAACGACCAGGGATAGGATGGTTTAGGCGTTTTCAATAAATAATAAGAAAATGTTTGTGCGTCCAGTCAATTTCCGAAGAGACACAAAAAGTGTATGATTCTTCTCATAAAAAAAGCAAGACTAAACTTTTTTCTATTCCTAAGAGCTCTACGATCAATTCATTTAAGTACTTGACTATCATTAATGTCATTAATGTTATGGGGTGGATGACGTGAACTAATTTATCATTACAAAAAAATAAACAAAGATATTGGAGTTAATGCTATATACAATTTAAGATTGAGGATAAAGGTCATGCTGATTTTTCATATTTTAATTTATGTTTGCAAGATTTATAATAGCCTACTGCTTTCAAAGGTCATGTCATTGTGTCATTTTATAAAAAATACAATTTTAGAAAAAACTGCGTACATTATTTTTTAGTGCGGGAATAACTCTGCTTGTTGAACACATAGAATTTCGAAAGCATAGCGCATTTTTCACAGCGTAACAAAAACGTTTGTCTTTCGACTCACCTGCAAGAGCGGCCTCTGCACCTTCTTGAGGTTGGTCATCCAGAAGCGCTGCGCCCTCCTGGCGATGAGGGCCGCCCGGATGGCGTTCTCGAAGACTTCGTTAACTCCGTAGTAGGTAAGTACTGAGGTCTCGTAATAGTACAGCCCCAGCTCCCTGGCCACGTCCCTGGCCTCGTCGGGCATCACCAGGTCGCTCTTCCGGGTAGCGCGCACGAAGGGGCTGCGGTCGCGAAAGTAGCTGAGGTAGGCCTCGTCGCGGTACATGTACCGCAGGTCGTTCTTGCATCCGACCAGGAGGACGGGCGTGCTGGGACAGAAACGACGGATTTCCGGGAACCACATGAGCCGGCAGTTGCGCAGGGACACCGGGTTGTTGATGCTGAAGCATAGCAGCACCTGGGAAAACGAAGGAATGGATTGAAATTGACGTTGAACCATCAAATATGGTTTTTAACTGATGATATTGCAGAAAGCAACAACGCTGTGGGTTACATGCGTCACTTATAAGCATAGTAATGAGGACCAATAATAGACCGGGAGATATTAGACTGAAGTTCGACGACGTCTTTCTAGTTTATGCCTCTGAGAGTACTGAAAGGTAACCGAGAGACAAGTACAATAAACTAAATTTAAAAGATGGGCTGCGGGACACCTTCGTGAAAATTCAATTTTCCTTTTCAAAAAAATAATGTGTACCTACAACGACGTATTTCTCACTTATGCCATATTTGTAAGTTGAAGAGAAGTATCGATTTTATCACGAAATTTTTTTGGCATAAGTGTCGCAAGAGACCTAAATATGGAAAACTTTGTAAGAAAATGTGGAAAAACATCTTTATTTGTCTACCAATTTCTCATTAATGCCAATTAGAAATATGACATTATTATATTCGAAAAGCTCATAAAAAACATTGGCATAAGTCCTACTAAGGACTAAAGAAAATAGGGCTTTGGAAAAGCTGCGGAAAATTTTTCGTTTTGGTCAACGTTTTTCTCGTGAATAAATTAAAGCTTATTGCAAAGAAAAAAATGAAAGTATTCAT